CTACCAATCCGCTTAACCATGCACTTCTTGTTTTCCACTCTTCATCATCAAAGCACCTCAGCACTTTGGAATGATCAACTCAGTGTTTGGTTATCACAGTTGACACATTCACCCACTAATCAGTAGAATCCAAATTATTGCTAGTGAAAATGGATGAGTGGGGACTTACAACTGTAGGAGGGTGGGCAAAAGCAAACCTGTAGACTTGTAAAGTTTCCTTGCTTGCTATCAGCTACATGTAGGCATGATTACGAACTACTACTAAGGACAGAGGCCTGCACAGCTAACTCAAACTTTTCTTGGGGAGAAACGTAGACCAGACTTGAGAGCCACAGAAATCAACCCTAGGTATCGGCAACATTTCTGTTGATGACTTGCCATTGCTAGCTACATTTGTACCATAGCCAGTCTTGTTTTGTGCGGAAATGCTTTGTTTCGGGGGCAGTTATTTTGTTTCACTGAGGACTGGCTTTGGAAAAACACACTGGTCCTTGCATTGTGAAGATAAACTACTTTGAGCCCATGCAGAGTATTCAAGTTTTCATCATCAGCTTTGTACATCTGCATCATAAACCTATTGAGAGACTGCTTAAAACAAAAGGAATACTTGGAAAATCTCCAATCCGCAGACCGTTCATGGCACACAGTTATAATCTTAGGAAGAATTGGAGTAATATAACAGAAAATACAATAAAAATGGCCATGATTGATGTTGATTCCATTGATTTATTAATTGATCTTACAATGTCATTGTTATAATGTTCAAATTTACCTGCATAACAAAACTGGTATATCCACATGCCTCTGCTGTTACACTGTTGCATTTTAAACATCAAGTCAGCATCATTACTGAGAGCATTTTTAGACGTGACTATCATACAAAAATACAAACAACATAACTCTTTGCATCAACAAAGGATATGTGTAGTTTGCCACACTGCTAAATACAATTAAATAATAACGTGCGACACTAAAATTTATTGCAAAACTTGCTTGTCAACATGTGCTCATTCACTGACCTAAGAAGGCCTTGCTACCAAAATTTAAAAACAAACATTGGAAGTGCTGAATGAATTGAGCCTGTTCCATTCTTCTTGGCATCTAAAGGTTGGCACACAAGGGGACTGGTCCCTGCGACCAGTCCCTGCAACTAGTCCCCTGAAGAGTTTACACGAAGGGACTGGTCCCAGGGACTTGTCCCACGAACAGTTCACACGGAGCATTTAGAGGAACAAGTCGCATGGACTTGTCCCAAAAATTCAAACCAGTTTGAATTCGTGGGACTGGTCATAGGGACCAAATTTTAGTCCCTGTGACTAGTTTTGTGGCAAAAATGGCCAGTTCACATCATGGGACTTGTCCCTGCGACTTGTTACAGGGACTAGTCGTAGGGACCAGTCCCCTTGTGTGTGCTGACATTAAAAAAACATACAATGCATAATTTGTAGGTACCTGAAAAGTCTGGGAACCAGTTTCTCAACCCTTTGTAAGAGACACTACAGCAATCTGTGTAATAATTTGCAAGCAAACAACTCATCATAGCCACGACAAAGATATCTATGTGTATGCATAGTGCACATGCTCAATAACACTTGGCTCTGGTCTAAGATACAGCATACAGATGTACATGTACAGATGAATCTCGCTTGGGTGTTAAGAGAGTAGCACCAGAACAGATGCCTGCATTATTGTGTAGGTTAATTAAGGCCACATGTGTGATTGAAGAACAAAGCAAGCTGCAGGACAGTAATGACATGTAATCCCTTGAGGGAAGAGCATGCTCCTTTTTGTGCCTCATCAGATTTTGGCTTGTTCTTTACTCATTGAGAGCTTGAAATAGGCAGGCCCTCTGCAAAATGCTATGAAATGATTATTTTGTTTTAAATTTATAATAAAAGCAATAAATAATGTGCCGTAAAATTTGCAGTAGTTGGACTGGCATGATGCATTTTAAAGCAAAATACATTCGGATTCTTCTTTCTCCTTCACTTCACGTGTGTCTTTTCCTTGGCTGCACTCACGTACCACACTGACGACCTATTTGAGATGAAAAAGTATGAATTGTAAAGCAAAACAGTAAAGAACATTATATTTATAACCATGCAAGGCAAACAGTGTAATGCAATGTATACATAGACATGTACATGTATTATGCAGTTTACTTACAACAGGCTAATTTTATTAATTGGTGTCCAAAAAATTGAGATTTTATTTGTATAAACACATGGTTGCCACAGACATCATTTTTCAAAATTCCCTAAATATTCCCTAACTTTTCCTTGATAAAAATAAATTTCCCTGACCTTGAAGAATTTTCTTTCTCTGACCATTTCCTGAACAGTGGCAACCCATTATTATCTCTTAAATCTACTTGTATACCAACCTCTTTAAAGGAAGGAAAACTTCCTTGTGAAAGCTTGGAGAAAATCAATTTCCCATTCACTGTGACTTCAAATGAGGCTGTGGTAAAACACAAAAATGTGTAGAATTATTAACCCTATTTTCCCTTGACCCTCTGCAGGTTTTTAATATTTAATAACCAATCGCTTAACTACCCTTGGTGTGGATGGTTTAAATAAGCATGTACAACAAGAAAAACAATCACAAACTTACATCTGCGGCCGACATGACCAGCCACATTTGCTGCAGGGACATCGGCTTTGATTTTATCCGCCAGTTCCCTGTAGCGTGGGGCGTATCCTCATGCACCACTAAATAATCAAACAAAACAGTTCAATTTTTGTAAAATTTTAGTCCGACACATTTCCTGATAGGTTTTGAAATTTTTTTTCCAAGAGCAATTAAATACAGTCAGTGTGCATTTGCCATCACTGCCCCAGTCAGTAGATGGTTTGCAAGCAAGTGCAATATCGATTTAAATCAATATTGCACATCTCACTGAATATGAATAGAGCTTGTTGTCCTCAGCCAATCTACAACACATGTAAATGAGGCTGATTTTTTTCCCCAAATACTGCTAAGTAATGAACTGACGCCATTGTTTTGAACGTACTAAGCTGCAAACCAAAGTAAGCTTACATTATTTACAAGTATCAACTTCATTGCAGGACTGTGTAGAAAATGTCCCGTTTTAAGCCACAGCTTCGCTTAAAGAACAGCTGACACAGCCATGTAAATAAGTTTACGCCTCTGCACGTCATTTCAAGAACGAGAAACGATCGGGAAGTTCAGGACCAATCGAAAGTAAAGGGAATGCTAAAAACCTCAGATCATTTATCTGCACTTAAAAGCGCAAATTCCATATCCGCACTTACAAGCGCACATTCCATATCAATGAAGTTTTCCAGAACGTTAAGCTTCAAACAATAATTTTCTTTTAACGTTTAAATGTTAAGGTTAAATGTTTACCCTTAATTATGGAAATGAACCATTCAAAACGAAATGTGAAACAGCACGAATTTGTTAAGCGCCGTTTTCTAGAATGTTTTCTCGAAAAGTGAGAAGTCAAAGCGACGGTGGAACAAAAAGGACACAACATCTTACCAATATTCTATGGAAACTTCCACTTTCGATGCCATAAAGACGACTTTTCTTTCTCAACTGCCCCAAGAAGTAGTTTCAACAAGGACTTGACGGTGCGTGACAAAAATCTCTTCCTCACCCTCCCTCCCTCCACCCACTCTACGAGCCTTCGTTGAGAAGCACAGCAGTGCAACGTTGATTCATGTAATACTACAGTAGGTATCCCCTCGACAGCTGTTGAAAGGTACATTTAAACACATGTGTCTAAATTAAAGCTCTATGGCGTTAATTTTTCGCTGTGCTGTCAATCCAGATCTCAAGAAACGCCATGACCAGCTTTTTGATGAACTCATGGAGTCTCCTTCCTGTTATGGAGGTTATAAAGAACTATGCGGTTTTCTCCAGAAGTACTGTAAGGCGAGCGATCGAATTATAACTGCTGGCTGTGCACTGTCAGACTGTAGTAATGGCGAGTCTCTGACTGAAGATTTGTATGATGCGGGTTATCATTCTGTTGTTGGTGTGGAGAGCTCAGAGAACTTCGTTACTAGTTCCAGGGAAAGAAACAAGGAGAAGAGACCAGAAATGCACTTTATTGAGGGACATGTCTTGAATGTAAGGACCATTGCATTTCAATATCTGCTTAGAAACACAACCGTAATCTGGGGATTCAAGAAAGGTCTCCTAGCAGTTTCGACCAGTGCCGGGAATCGCAATCACCACTTTTATCTCCCAAGAAGATATCTGACGGGGATTTTCAGATTTTGTAATGTTCATCTCTTCACCCCCCCCCCCCTGCCCTGCCCCCACTTCTCCCTCCCTAGTTCCAGGATAAGGATGAGTGGTGGGAGGTGCTACCATTACCATTATTGAGAGTTACCTGTAAATAGGCAAACCTGAGAATTATTTGTGGTAGTCAGCTTAGTCTAACTGTAAATAGACTAAGTTCTAGAGTGCTAGTCAGGCTTACTACCTATCAACCCAGACCCCTAGACCCTGTCCAAGACTTGCCCTCCAAGGTTGAGTTGTGAAGGTGGGAGTGTGACTGAACACAGGATGGGCAGGGAGGTATGAAGACAGGGGATCTTGTTTCAAATCTCAAATCGGCCACTATACAAAGACATTCAGAGATTGATAAGATGTCATTAAATCAACAGACATCGAAATTATGTTTTTCCAGTTGAGGAAATGAACAGAAGCAATGGTCAGGGTGGAACTGTTAGAGAGCAGGGTAATGTCAAAAGTCAACAGGTGCTGGCAAAGATCATCATGTACATGTACTTCACGATCTAAGCCAGCTTCACTGCTAGGATATTTGCCAGATTCTTGAGAAAGAAAGTGATGGTAAAATCAACCACCTGCTCTGAAAATAAAGCCATATACTTCAAACCAATAAGTAACAACCCGGTGTGAGAGGAGGAGGAAGGGGTTGAAATTAGGCAAGTGCTTGAAATATCATCTTTCTTTCTTTTTTTTGCAGGTTGATCTTGATGATGAAAGTTTTAATGTTTTGATAGATAGGGGTGAACTAGACAGACTGCATAAAGATTGCTCATCTTGCCAGAGAACTGATTCAAACATCATAGAGTACTTTGAAGTAGTACAAAGAATTCTTAAAGTAGGAGGCCGCTTTATTTGTTTCTCATTTGCAACAGATGACATCTTGGACAAACTGCTGCATTATTTTTCATCTGGATGGTTTTTTAGGGTACATTTGGTAAACAAAGAGACATCAGGTGGAAAATCGATACCATTACCACTGTTTTGTCTTGTGTTAACAAAGACAAAATTTGCAGGTTGGTTTTTTTTATAGCCTCTCTCGCAGTCGCTCTCAGGGCTCATCACGCTTTCCTTCCCTCATGGGGAAGGAATGCATGACAAGCCATAAAAACTTCTGCGTGGAAGGCTATAGTGCTTTCAGTGCAACATTTGTGGGATTCATGCTTGCCATGTGTAAGAGAAAACTAACGCTGTTAATTGTTGAATTTTGCATTCAATGGTATTCAGGGTCATCAACTCAATCGCTACAAATCATTGAAATATGTCTGGATGGAATAGAGACTATCCAAAGAGTAAACTCTTTCTCAGATGTCAAGATTACTCTGCAAGAAATCCAACAGTATTTTGTCACAAAGAGATCACTAGGTATGTTCATGTACCTAGACATGTTTAAAACGTGAGGCATTAATTTTAAATATTATTGTATGATACTGTGAATAGTGAGTTTTTAGTGTTCTTTATTACATATTTTAACTGCTGCATTAATGTTAAAGTGTACCACTGAGCCTTGAAGTGGTTTCTCAATTATATAATATTTAAAAGTTCAACTCCCATACATGCACATGCATAATAATTGTTATTTATTATCATGGACATCGTGCCTCCAGATTTGCAATTTATATATAATTAGTAGTACTGTTGTTTATTGTATAAAGAAATGTCTTTTGTTAGACTCAGTCTATAGACTGATAAAGCAGACTTAATGGTCAAATCACTTGAGAGAAATTTGTAGAATTCAATTGAAATTGATTCTACATGTGCATAGTCTCCATTCAATTTCATTTTCCTTTTTTACCATTCTTTCCTTACCTTTTTCTTATTTTGAATTTGTTGTTTTCATGTGTGCGTTATTCAGAGAAATTATGTCCTGGCCAGCCTGTCATGGTGGATTTGTATCAAGCATCAGGAAATCAAAAACAAAGAAGTGAAGCTCGTTACTCAATGACAACTGTTGACTTACAACATTCATCAGCAAAAAATGGAAAATTTGCAATATTCATTGTTCCACAAGGTAATTGTTGTGGTTTATTAAAGTAACAACATCTTTTTGATGCCATTTTTTTTATTTTTAAACTTGAGTTTTGATTCTTGCTAAACATTAAGGTCAACTTAGGTCAACTTGCATGGATTGTACATTTCACCAGTACTGTAATGTCCTACGACATATGGACGTGACGTACATGCATGTGTATGCAAGGAGCTGTGTCAAAGCTATACCCTTTGAGGATCTATCACTTGCCTATTCATGCTGTTAGTGCATTACATATAATTATTATTTGTGTAAAGGGCTCCAAAGCTAACTCCACCATTTATTTATACATACACATGTACCACGATACTATTGTAAAGCATTGTAGGTATGTAATGTGTGCAAATAGCTATGAATCTACGTACATGTATGCCCTCCCCACACAGGGCATGCCTATGGTATTATTTTACTGTAAGCAGCTGTTTGGACTTTTTTTATTGCTGTTCTACAGGGAGGGAGACAGAGTGGCTATTCTCATCCAAAGACGGACAAATGGAACTGACCACCAATGCAAGTTTTGAGCGTGTCGTCATAGTTACTCTAGGAAGAGGGCATACATTTAGTGACATGGACTCTATTAAGAAGGAACTGTCTACAAAAGTCATGGAACTTGCTCCCAGAAGACTCAATCAAAATGCGCAGGTAATTTGGCCCTGTAGAATAGCCTAAGTGCAGCAAAATTCATGATGCTTTTTTATGATGGTGTGTTTTTTTCTCATTCTGTGGATGTTTTTGTCACTCAAATGCTCATGAGGATAATAGCCAATTAACTAAGCTGGCTATTAAACACTGTCAATATACGGTCAGTAGCTTAAATACAGTGTAGCTTTAGTTAAGATTAGAATCTTAAATGTACTCTAATAACCTGAAAGTCTCTGGCTACAGGCCAGGTCAGTGCAGATAACATTACTTGATGTTAGTGATGTTAATATGTTATTCCCCCCCACCCTGTTTTTTCTCTGTTTATTTTTGTTTTCATGTGCCAGGTGCCATTTCTTTCTATTGGAGAAGATCTTGGAAATCGTGTGGTCTTACATGAAGGAAGTTCAGCATTAAGTGGTGACTATGTGGTGGAAGACATTGACGGAGATAGTGGACAGAAATTTCGCCGACTGATTTTCCTGAACAACAAGAATGTGATACAATCAGAGGCTAGGCTAGTAACAGGTGACTGTAAGACAAAGCTCTTCAAAAGCCTTGAGTTCTCTTTTCAAAGATAATTTCAAGTGTTCGTTATGCAATGTATTTTGTGGCTTGGCAAAGAAAATATAATCATTTGATGTTTGAATTCTCAACACATTAGCACTTGTGGTAAATCGATGTGTCGTATGCTATTTGCTGGGTGGGAGGTCTGTGTAGTGAAAAACTGTGACATAGATCTTGAAAATGCTGTGTGAGGTTCACAATTTTTTCACTATACAGACCGACCGTAAGCTGGTTAAATAACTTATAATTTATTTATCCAAGCCTTGCTAAGAGCCAATCAGATTGCAGGATTTGTCACCATGCCTTATAGGGAAAAAAAAAGGTTTACCTTACAAAGCAAAAGCCGTCAGTTCAAAGCCCGTTGAAATATGATACACCTGAAGTATGAAGTCTAAACTCTTGTAGCCATAGTACACATGACCACTGTGGAACATTGCTTTGAGTCTGACCTAGCCCTAATTCCATTTAGCCATCTCTATAAATTCCCTCGAAAGAATTAACTTATCAAGAAATTAATGAACTGAAAGAACAAGCATTCAACAAATTCTTGGAGATCTACCACTTCATTCTCCTTTTTCTGTTATATTCTGTTAGGGAAGCCAAGGGTGGGGGGGGGGGGGGGGGGGG